AATGTAAGGGTACAGTCCAAAAAAAATCCTTTCCTGATTTGAGACACTAACATATCTGGCCCCAAACAAAAAACTTTTGCACCATTAGGAGTGGAAGATAGCAGTGTTTCTTCTTGTGGTTCTTCCCATAGGGTGAAAAAGGGCAGTGATAATCAAGCCAAGAATTTTTAAAGGGAGCTATAGCTTTTCAGAGAAGTCATGATGGCGTACTAGGGTTTTGGTTTGTGGATGGGTGGTTTTGGTTTGGCTTTTTTTTTCCTGCTTGCTTTTTTTGATGCTTCCACAATCTTTAATCGTACTAGCTTGAATGGTGTGAAACCTTAATGCAGTAAACTACCTTTTGCGAAGGTAAGGATCTCGGCTTCTAGGGAAGGCTACCAGGCAAACTCATTCAGCTTAATTTGTAGAAAGGTAAGAAATGTTTTACAGGTGCATTCAGATTTTACTGAGATCTAAATATTCAGCCTCCTAAGTCTATTCACATTAGTCTCTAATACAGTGAAGGAATGAGTTACAGATTTTCCAGGAATGAAACATACTTGCTAATATATTCTGAAAGTTGACTCTTGATATAAGGGCCATGGCACCTGACATTGGTACGAGATTTCTGTTGTGGTTTCAAACATGAATTGCTTCGATAGCAGCCTAGTCATTCACTGACCATAGAGGGTATGTCCTCCTTTACAAGCAAATGTTTCTTCTCCTTTACTCTTGAAATCTTGCATAGCCCTATCTCAAGGAAAACCCATGGTGTTTTCTTGTGAGATGGAGTGTTACTACAGTCATCTCTGCTCTGGTGTTGGCACCAGCCCTCTATTCCACTTCTGCAAGGCAGCGTCTTGCAGACAGGTCTCCTTTATGTCTAATGCAATGGTTGAGCACAATGGGTCTTGTTTAGAAGTGACTGATTCTTCTGTAAAACAAACTTGTGCAAACAGCCTACAACTTGGGGTAATATGCCCGACTTGCAAGGTTTAATATTGCTATTTTACAGGATAGGTGTGTTGTGGGAAGGCAAGGAAAAGACCTCGCCTTGATGCAAGGTGCTATTTAGCTGATGGGGCTAACTGCAACCTCTTAAACGTTAAAACAAAAAGTCTTGTATACTGACTTGCCTTGTTGGAGAAACTCTGTGATTCTTCTCTACTTGATTTTCTTGTAAATTAAAAGTTTTGGAACACATTGAGTTAGTTCTTACTCGAGGCTGAGGGCTGTGATTGGTGGTTTTTCTTCCCAATGAGGCTTTTCTCAAATTCCTGTGATACGATCAGATGTTGGTGTGCTGGCTTGTGTGAATATCTTTCTAAAGACTTACCTCTAATTCCTGGTTGTTATTGTTGTGTGTTTGATCATCACCAGAAAAAGTGTAGAATCTCTTCATGCTTTCTTCATTGGGATACTGACCTCACTGGGATGTTTGGCCTTGCTGAGGAGATAGGGACTTCCTCTGAACCTGCTCAGGCTGCATGTGATGATTGGTTTTGCCTACTGATGCTGATCAGAGGATGTACTCTGCTTCTGCCATCCTTCCCATTACAGGAGAACTATAAAATCTTTTCTGTGACTTTTTGGTCCATTGTGGAGTCTTCCCCATGCCTTGGATGCTAAAGGTTTGGATAGTCTATTTTAATCCGTGGCAGCCTGCTTCCTCTATTTTATACGTATGGGGGCAGAATACAACGAGGACAAGCTTACTCTGGCAGCTAACTAGAGGGGTCGCTGGGACATGGGCTCTTGTCACTTGTCTGCAATTTACTTTATCATAAGTATAGCATTACTGTAAAGTCCAGCCGTAAATTATTGGCAGAAGTGGGCTTGAACTGTTAATCTGAACAAATATGTGATTAACTAATTTCTTCCCCAGAAACCTTGTCTGAGGTGAAGTGAAAATGTATGAATTTGAACTCCTGATCATAATGTCTAGCTGAGAGGATACAAGCAGAAGATGTTTGAGGATGGTCTTTCTCCACCTAGTGGGAGTTTTGATGTGATAAGGTCTGCTACCAGGTGATAAACAGGGACGGTCCTGGAGGCTGCTCAGACTGGGCTTACGTAGCCTCTCTTGGTTTTCCCTTCGTATTTTCCATGTAGCAGTACCTGTAATTCTTTGCAGCTCTCTGAGCTCTGTGCATTTTGATGCTACTCTTTTCCAGAATTTACTTCAGTCACTCTTTAGGTTAAAACTGTACTCTCTCTACTGTTGAAAACCATTTGCTAATGAGAAGGGACAGCACCAGTATGAAAAACATTAGAAGAGAGTCCCTCTAACATGGCAATATGAGGCCATGAAATCTACTGACTTGTAGATATGTTGCTGCTTTTTTCTTCAAATGGTTAGGATTTCAGTTGTGGCTGACACTGCAGATTATGTGTTAAATTGTAGTGCCATAGGAGGTCTGAGGTGCTTGGATGTGGTTATTTGAGATACTGCTGTGTCAAGAAACAAAGTTTTGTTTATAATAACAAGTAAACAAACCAAAAATAGTATGGTTGCAAACAGCTTGTTCCAAGTGATATTAGCAGTAGGTAAGTTAGTCTCTTCTGTGATTGCTGAAGCTTTGAAGCTGGGTTATAGCTTTCTTTTTTGTGTAGTGTTGTTCAAGTAATACTACAGAAAGGGCTCCTGTGCTCCTACTTCATGAGTAGATTAAACCAGTCTTGATCTAACTAATGTCTTCCTCAATTTTTTTTTCTGTTGCAAGAGTCTAGAAAAGCCTACTTATGGACAGTATCTCAGTGCTATAGCTAAGTGTTTCTCCATCATAATATCTGGTATTGCTGGGCATAGAAATGCTTTTTGACATAGATTTGCTCATGATGCCTTTTAAAATCTTGTATCTGAAAGCATCACTAGACAGCAGCGAATGCTGGGAACTTCAGGTAGTACTTATGGTGTGAAAATAAAGGCGATGCAGCTGTGATTCCGCTCATGTAGTATACGTGTGATTACCTGGCAGATGCAGAGATTTGTAACATTAAAGTAGCTTCTCATAGGTTTTGTTGATCAAAATTGGGGAATATTTCTCAGCAGTTCAACGTAATTTCCTGATGTGCTTCTGCAGAGAGCTGTGAAATTTCACCGTGTTTGTGTACCTGTTGCCTGACTAACTGCTGATAACCAGCTTCAGGACTTCTACTGAAGTTACGGAAGGAGAACTTGTCTTGATTTAAGTTAAATATGGAAGTCTTTATACTTCTGATTGCTCTGTCAAGTTGCAGTCTTTGTAAAAGCATGTCAGCTCTGGGGATAGGAAATAAATTAAAAAGATGTGGAAGAAATCGGTGTCCAAACCCACTGAAACTCAGTGGTATGTATTAATGGCTCTTCCCCCTTCCTTTTTTGTTTCTAAAAGTATGGAACTTTGTAATAAATTAGACCCATACCATGTACAGGATCAGGATGAAATTATCTAGCCCAGTATCTTGCTGTGGTTAGTAGCTAGCAGCAGATGCTCTGGGGAAGACTGTAAGATCAGGGTGAACACAGTGATTCTTCCTAGGATGCTTTCTGATAGCAGTCCCTAAGTCTGTCCAGTCCAGCCACTTCCTTGGCAGTGTATTTTCTGCTTAATAGTGTTTGAACTACTCACTTTATGCTGCATCTTCCACCCTGTTTGATTATTTTTAAACTGTTTAAATTCTGTCATCTGCAATCTTTGATAGCAAGGAGTTTCATGGTTTAACCATGCAGAGTGTTATAGGTTTATATATATATATAATGTAACATATATTTAAAGGTGAATATATACATATTCTCTGTGTCTCTTCCATTCTACTTGTATACCCAGAGTACCCTTTTCCCAGTGGGTCAGTTTTGTGCCTTATGATACATTTGGTAATTCTTGTTATTCTTTCTGTACTTGCTAGTTCTTTCTGCATGTGGGGAGAGGAAAGCAGAGTTGTTCTGAGTACAGGATGCAGGTGCACTGTAAACTTTTACAGTGATGTTTGGTGCTTTTTTTCCTAATAATTCCTTGTGTTTAGTTTGGCTTTTGACTGTGACTTATAGGTGATAGTACGGTAAATACTTACGACAGCTCAGAAAGCTCGTTCCTTAAAATTACTAGGTAGATTAGCACATCATTGTGTTCATTTAGAAGTCACTTTTCCTTGGTTGCATCGTTTGGCATTTAGCAACAATATATTTCATACTATTTTATCCCTCTTCAGTCTCGTGAGATCCTTCAGATTTCTCTGCTGGTGTTAAATAGCAAGTGCAGTGGTGTGGTAACTTCTGTCCACTTCCTCCTCACTTTCTTTTTCAGATTGCTAATAAATAGAATGACTTATTTCTGTGGTATTAGAGAATCATGTGGTGCTCCCATGTTTGACTTCCCTTGTTCCTTCTTTTGTTTCCAAATTTTTAAAATCAATTCTTAATCTGAGAGGACAGACACTTCTGATGGCAGCTTAGTTTCTTTAGAGAAAGAAGCCTTTCCTCAAAAAATTACTTACGGGGTGTGACTTGTCTCTCCATGAACAGTTGGATATTTTTTTTCTCTTTTTGTTTTGACTGCCTGCTAACTCTAGCTCTGACTAGTGTGGTCATCGGCCTTCATTCATTACAGAGTAAATCTTAAAAGCTGCAGGCTTTGCGGTATTTGTTCACAGCTGGAGATTCTGATGTGTTTCTGTTTATGAATGGATGCTTCTTTGCATGGTTAATACCTGGCTGGAAGCTGAAATAATGTGCAGTACTGAAACTATCAGTGTACCTCTGATTCTGTAAACCCAATGGGAGGAGAGGCAAAGAAGTTTAATTATTTTCTCTGAAAGGACAAGTATGCAAAGTCCCTTCTACAACATTTTTGCTAACAATTCCTGTTCTTAAAGATCTGCCACTGCAGCTACCTGTTAAAAAATGTCCGTGTAAACTCATTAGCAAAAGTTTTGAAGTACAGGCTCAACTGGTAAGAATTGTCCTCCTCCCCAGCTGCCTGATCAACGTGTACAACTGACCAGACTCTGTGAAAGCAAACCTGCAAACAACTTCTAAACTAAACTTGTAGAGTCAAACCCAGTCAAACTCGTAAGTAAAATGGTTTTAAAAATAAATGCAGACTAGAATTTATAGTCCTTTTGCGTAAAATGTTTGTGATTTATCCTTCACCCCACTGAAATTTGATTCAAAATTGTCTGATCAAGCCTTAATTATGTTTTATTTTATAAATTTGCAGTGCTCATTTGTAGAAGTAGAGCTGGTATTGAAAAAAGTTATCAGATAAAGAATGAATGTGCAGGTATTGAGGGGAGAACTCTTTTGCCAGTTTTTCAGGCCATGCATATTAATACATTGGGGCTTTTACAATTCTAATAAATGGAGGCAAGAAATCCCAGCTCTAGACTACTGCTTAATATATTCAAGATTTTTGTAATAGTCAATGACTGGGAATGGCAATTCATGTGTCAGTGTTCTGTGACTGGTTGCTGGTTGTCACTGTCTTTCCCAAACTGCGTGTCTTCCTTGAAAATTCAAAATGCAACTTCATTAACTTTGGCTTGATGCTCCTAAAGAGAAAATTTTTACTTTGTTCTTCCTGTGCTGAGTCAGGAACATTTTGAACCAGGGGATCAGTTTGATTTGATTTTTTTTTTTTTCTCCCCACCCCCTGCCCCATTTCAAGAAATGACTGGACAAAATGCAATGGCTTATTTATTTTCACATCAGACCTGAATTTGGAAATTCACATTGTCATGTATTGTAGTTGTCTGCATTATGTCTGCTCTGTACAAGTGAGCTCTAGACCACAGCATATTCAAAAAATGTGATGTACTTGAAGAGAAATTACTGCCGAGTTATCTGATTGGAAAAAAAAAAAAAAGAAGGAAATAAGCTATTCATCTTGGTTTGACCATATGTAACCAGAGTCATTAAAAGGCAAAGTACTTGATTCAGACTTGGAAATATTTTAAAAGGTGTTGTGCAAAAAAGCTGATAGAGTAAACCACAAGCTTTGTCAGAAGCTGTTACTGCTCCAGTGGTTCTCCTTGCACTCTCCTGTACAGAGGAATGGCAGCAGCTGTGCTATCACTCCTGTACTGTATCTCTGGGTCCAGAAACATAAAGTGATTTAATAGTTTTAAAATTTAACTTTTACTGCCTCTGTTCCATTCCTGACTTTTTCAATAATGGCTTGTGTGGTGATTAGCAGTTGGGGTTTGATCATATTATCACTTTCTCCTTACTCTTTTGCTGTCTTCAGTTAAAGCCAAGAGGTCTAGTTAGTAGCCACATGCTGAGAGGTTCCTGCTCATAGGGCTGATCTCAGTGTGGAAACTTCTGCCTTGAGAAGAGAGAGGTGAAATGTGGTTCCTGCTAGCTTTCCAGGGGAGAAGTTTCAGCTCTAGAGGAGAGGTGTATCTGGAATTCTCTCCACCATTTTAAAGAATGTACATTTTCTTGTATACACATTGGGCTGAAATTTCCCTTAGTACTTTTCTTTTTTGTGTGTGTGTGAGATATATGCATTCAGACTATTCTGGTTACCACAGTTCTTTTTAAATAAGTCCTGTGAACGCTTCATTGCTTCATGACATTCAGTAGGAAACTTTGGATTGTCAGGAATAAAGCTACAGACTGGAGAATAAGATGATGATTCGAGATCTTTGTAAAACATCCACATAATTCCAGAGTGAAATAAAGATCAAGAATTACTGTGGTTTATTTTTTTTTTCATAAGTTAAGGGTAGACTTAAAGTACAAGCTAGTACGAGAACTGAGGGGAGGCACTGACATAGCTGCTTCACGATTTCTGACCAGGGAAGTGATGAAGGAGTGAGTAGTTTTTTGTTTTACTTGTGTAAGAACAAGCAGGCATGTTCAATCTAGTGCCGTATGTGGCTGATTTGTTAATCAATGTGTCATACAGCATACTTCATGCCAGTCCTCTAATCTCTGGCATCAGCTGCCAGTGAGTTTCAAGATAGAGTTGTGGGCACTGAGGAGTGCATGGACTTTGACAAAGAGTTTTTATTCTTCGGAGCTCAATGCTGTGCATTATTACTTGATTAGCAGAATCACTCAAGCTGGAATCGCTGCTCATCCAGAACCTATAGTTGAGCTGTATAAGGCTTTCTCTGTGCAGATGTCTCAGTCTTAGACTTGTTCTGGTGCTTCTCTCCTATCCAACACAACCAAAAAGTCTTTATTCTTTCATGGATTATGGAAAAACATGGGAAATCTAATACCGTTGTTGCTAAGAAAACAATAATTAGGCCGATATGTTCATGTTTGCTGTTTAAAATTACTTGAAAAGTGCATAATAGGCCTGTTGCTCTGTAATACTTAAAGGTCAAGTTATCCTTTTGTTCTCTTTTGAAAATGTTGAACAACTGCAGGAGTTGAAGCCTAGAATAAATACACCTTAATTGAGAAGGTGGGGAGAAAACAAATCAACATTTAGTTTATCATCCATTTTCCAAAGGTTGTTTTAAACAGATCTTAAACACCTACGTAAAGAGGCTTGAGAATTATTTAAAATGTGTTCTCTCTCAGATTTTCTGGTGTCTTAGTTTATGCTTTCCTAATTTCAAGGATGCCACTGAAGGGGTCTGAGGGGGTTGTTGCTAACACTGGCTGGATTTCTCATTCCCTAGATCTAAAGTGAATTCAGCTGTGTTATTAAGCTTTGGAGTGAGTAATTCTTAGTTTTATTCATGTCGTGGTAACATGGAAAACCGGTTACCTAGTACATTCACCTATATTCTTTCCATTCAAGAAAAGTATCTCAAGCAGTCTGTGGAATTAAGAACAATGTTCAAAGGGGCTCTTGGCTAGAGGTAAGGCAGGTGGGGTGCTTAATCCCCCCTGCTTATGCATAAACAGAAAATCTGCTACTTGCCATGTGTGTTGTGTGAGGGCTTTTTAATAGTACTAATATGTGGCTGATAGGCTTTTCTGGCTTGTTTTCACTTAATATTGCTGTGACAACTCAGCAATTCATAAGGCAGTGTTAAGGAATTTGAAGGGTTCCTGAGATACTTAGCAGGTAGAGACAAGAAGCCGTGACTTGTGATCATCCAGTCTTCCATTTTATACCTAGTTTTCTACAAGTCATTTTGTGAATTCTTACGGGCTAAAGGAATATGTGTGTCTTTAATGCATGGTGCTACAAATAAGAATGCATATCTCCAGTGTGATCAGCTTTTATCCCTCTTTTCTGTGCTTCTCCCCCACCCACTCTAACCTTTAGTAGTATTCCCAAGATAATTTCAGAAGTATGTGTATTAACTACTGGACACTGTTCCCCTAAGAGCAAAAGATAGCTCTGCATTTTTAACAATTAAAGATCCTTGAATTTTCATAAAAAATCCAAAGAGAAAAAGAATTCTTGTATAGTGTGCCTTGGCTCCAATGGCATTTTCCTTAGTTGTGCTTTCTGTGGAAGATACGGTTTCTGTAACTGCTTCTTCAGGGGCAAATACGAGATAATCCTTTTGCTATACAGGAAGGTATTTATCTAATAGATAATTTAAAAAAAAATCATCTCTGGAGATCTGTTTGCAGGAGGTCTATCTGAATAGTCTTTTTCCTTTATTTGGGTAATACAAATATCCAGGAATTAATAAGAAAACTGGTTGCAAGGTTTTTGCATTGGATAATACGGCTGTTGTAACTACTGAGTACAGCTGGACAGGGAGGCTAGGACTTCTAAAGATGCTGTAGTGGTCTTGTTCGTGCTGCACCATGAAAATGCAAATGAGAGTTTTTTAATGTAAAAGCTGAGCTGTCCTTTATGCAATTTTTTTAAACTTGCATTATGCTTCTTTCTGAGAATCTGCATTGATGGTGCTTTGTGCTAGATTGTACTTCAGTGATGGTGTGACTCGTGTTCTTCAGGCATCCTTTCAGAGCAGACCAGTTTTAATTTAAGTGTACGTGAACTAATGCAGCAGGTCAAAAATAAGTCATTCTGGTAAATTATCTAGAAGATGATGGCTGCTGACAGGATGTTGCAAACTGGGTTATATTCAAATACAGTCTTGCAACCTCAAGTGGGGTGATGATTTTTTTTTTCCCTCCCCCCCGTGTGTGTGAGAATTTCTGGGTCGTCTTTTTAAGGGCTGTGGAGCTCTTCAGAGCTGAGCTTTTCTTTATAATTGGTTCTGGGAATACTGGCCATTATTATTAAGTATGCAATCTAATACAAGCTAGCACAAGAACTTTTCATTACAGAATGGCATGTTCTTACCTCTTCTTCAGTGAAGAAAGCAACAGACTGATAAAAATTCCAGAAGCCTGGAGCAAATGCCGGTTTTCTCATCTTTTGGATGAAGGCATCCGAGGAAAATCTGAATAGACTGAATGGCACTGGGGAGACTGGTGAAAAGTGGGAGATGGTGAGAGGGCTGCCTAGGAGACGGGCAAAGAGCTGAGCTGTGGCAAGGGAAAGGGAGGAGAGCAGCCTGAACTGCTGTGCAAAGGGAAGGGGTAGCGCTGGTGTGGTGACTTGGGCAGCATGTTGTGGTTTTGGGGTTGTGGGGGTTTCTTAAGTTTTAAATTGGTCTGTAGATCATACATCTTAAAATGAGTTTGTTTGCTCAACTCCCCCATCAAAATCAGTTTGGCAAGTGTTATAATGTAAATCTTCTACATAGTTATCATTGTCACTTAAATTAACATTTCCTGTAGCAGTCAACATACTCAACATATAATCAATAGACATTGATTGGTACTAGCACTACTTATACTAGTAGAGTTCACTGGCTGAAGAACTGAAATCTCTTTACCTGCTGTACCAACTTTTCTTAAAGGGCACAGTCAGGCCATGTTCAATGATGTGTTCACTTGCACTTGGAGGAACTTTCTCTTAGGATAAAAAAGCTTTTTTTTCTTTTTACCCTCAGGAAAGGAAAATGAGGATATGCTATATCTGAAATCTTGAAGGGTTTGGAGATAACCTACTGTTAACATTGCTACTTTTAGATAACTTGATTGGTTTCAAGTTTTGTGAACATACTGTTTCACATTACAAGCACATCTAAGAGTTTATATGATGTTTGTACGCTTTGCTAGTTTAAAAATTCCAT